ATGGATGAGGAGTCTGCTGTGCTGGCCCTCCCTTGCTCACCTTTTGCCATCTCTGCAGTGCCTCCTGGATTGAAGGAATCTGGTGCTGATTTGGCCAGGCTTCACATCCAACCTTTTTCTCCTCAGGGGCTGGAAAATCTCTAGATGGGAGATGTTCACAGCAGCTTTTATTCTTCAGTAGGATTAAATTTCCAAAATAATTTTTACTCCGTTATATGTGTCACCTCATGGTGACCTCCTACCAGTAAATGTTTATCATAATTCCTGTTCTTTTTCTATATATAATTATTAATTAGCCTTTATTACTTATATACTTGAACAATTTTTAACTGAGGCAATAAAATTCATAAAATTAATTTGGGACTACTAGTATCACTCATATTCTACCAAGTTGCTATTTTCCTTTTTCAACGGGGTTCCGCATCATAAAACTTAAATCCTATGGGTTTACACTTACTTTCAATTCACTCAGATTTTAAATCTACAAGTCAAAACATGAGCTGCAGATCTTGTTACATCACAGTCCTACATTGCACGTGCTGTATGTACGTAAGCTTAAATTTTACAGCACGATTAATTCTTTAAGTTAATGCAGTATGCAAATTAGTTGTTGGTAGTTAGTAGTGTAACTTTTATTTATTTAAACTTCCTGCTGTTTTTGAATATTAACTAATAATTAGTGTATTACTTGAAGCTTTTAAACTTTCATTTCTATCCATTTACAATCATATAATTTTTAGCAATAAAGTTGGATTAAGTCACTTGTGGGAATGTATTAACCTTTTGTTCAGGAAGAGATGAGACATCACTTGCACCTGCTCTACAAATATGCACTGGGTTTTCTTATGCTAATCAGGCACATTAGAATCTTATATAAAAACTTCAGTGTGGGTGTATAGATACAACTAAGATGCTTACATTTAATACCGCTCAAACAAGTAGCGGCAATGAATCACAAGTCCTATCTACCAAGGAAATGGGATTAGTCCTCTCAAACTGTGTGTCCCTAGTGTACTTCCATAAGACAGAGTTGTGCTTGGATGAATGCTATGATCAGAGAAAGGCACTGCACTGAGATAGGTGAGGACTGAAGTCTCAAGACAAACAGTAAGTTCCCCAGGAAATACTGCACTCTGGTTCTGACTGTTACCCTCAAAAAGAGTACCCTTCAACTTCTCCTCTCACACCCATAAATCTACTTCAGCTGGTAACTGTTCCTCTTCTGAGCCTATGCGTCTCATTCTGGTCCCTAAATATGAGCAAAACATTTACTGTTTTCTAGACCATGTTGAGAATACTGCATCCAGCTTTGGGTCCTTCCATACAAGACATGGATGGTCAAGATGGTCAGGGGCTGGAGGGAGAGTGAGGAGAGGCTGAGGGAAGGGGGTGTTACTCAGCCTGGGGAGGGGATGGATTTGGGCATCTACCAGAAACTTGCCAGTGCCTGAGAGAAGGTTGTGGAGGAGAAGAAGCCAGGCCCTTCACGCTGGTGCATTCGGGAGGGCAAGAGGCAGCTCGGGCTGGATGAAGAGCTGAGCAACCCAGCCTG